TCAGGCGACCGCGGGGCGCAGAGCCGTCCTAGAGGAGCCGGGGGCGGAGCCACGGAAGGCCACGGGGACCTCGCAGTGCCTCACCGCCCCCAATTGTAAGGGTTGGAGAATGAGGTCCAAGGAGCATCAGTCCAGCCCTAGGAGAGGTCCTAGCGATGGTGTAGGAGGAGAGCAGAGGGGCTCAGGTACCTGAGTCCGCCACCTCTCCATGGTCAGCCAACCCCTCCCTGTGACAGCTCAGCCCCCAGAGGGGCCTGTCTGCTGTCTGCACCCACAGGCCTTTGCAGTCCCCACTCCCACCTGGGTGGGGCTGACATTGGAGCAAAAAGGCCAGGCAACAGGGACCCCTGCTGGCACTGGGAAGGGAGACTGGCCAGAGGCTGTCCACTGCCTGCTGCACACTGCCTTTCCTGGACACCGTGGACCAGGGAGCCAGGGTTTGAGTCAGCCCCGGGCTGGTGGGGATATCACGGGTAGGGGTGTGATCATGGGTAGGAGTGTGTCAATGTGTGCACAGGGGAGCGTGTGTGGATGGGGGGTGTTAGGAAAGCGTTCCCGGGAGGGGTGGTGCTTGAGCAGACGTCCACCCAGAGGGAAAGGGGCCCCACATGACAGTGTGGGCAGCTAGACAGGGGCTAAAGTGGGGGTTGCACAGAAGGGGACCCTCTGAAAGGTACCCAGTGTTGTAGGAATGGGGCTTCCTGGGTAACTCCCAGGTGTTCATGGAGGAGGTAGGTGGGGCAGATACATTTGAAGACAGCCTGGAGGGGAGCCTGATGGGACAGTGGGTGTTGGGGGACACAGAGCTGAGAGGGGGGAGGGCAAGTGAGAAGTGTGCCCCGCCTCAGCCCCATCTGTGTTGTGTACTTTTTAAGTGAACTTGGAAGCCATTTTACAAATCTGTCTCTACAAGGTAGAAACTTTAAAAGAGACAACAGGTGGATGTGAAGTTTAAAGGTGGCTGTTTGGGGCCCCGCCTGGCAGACCCGCCCACCCATCTGCTCCCTACTGGCTCCCCTACCCCACTCTTGTTTCAAGAAGGCGCTAGGAGCTTCCAGAGCCCAATGAAAGTGCCGGTGTTCTTTGCAGGAACCTGGTCAGCCCAGGGGTCCTGACCCCCATATGCCCCTTCCTTTCTGACCCAGTGCTCCCTCCTCTAGTGTCCCCCTCAAGGGCCAGCCCTGTGCATGGCGGTAAGTGACCGTGTGCTGGTCCCTGGAAAGAACATTCCCAGAACCTAGAGCCGTGGGTGGCTGCCCGATGGGACTAGGGAGGGGCTGCAGAGTGACCCCAGGCTGAGGGGAAACAGGGCCAGGAGCCTCTCCCCAGGCCTTTGGACTTCGCTCCTAAAGCCTTCACACCATGCTGTGGGCACCATAGCCACCGCCAGGCCTACCTAGCACCTGGCCCTTGGCCTAGCCAGCCCCAAGCACTGGTTAGATGGGCAGGGTGGTGGCATGGAGGGGGACAGGAAACCACCCAGAACCACCTCTGGAGCTGAGTTGCGTTACCATGAGCCAGCAGGAGGGGCAGCAGGAATGCTTTAGGCAGGGGGTGACCTATGTGTCCACCTCCCTTCAGGGTACTGGTCTCTGTGCTGGTCCTTGGAGGTGCCTCACTAGCCTGACCCCTCTAGTATTTCAGGAAACCTTCTCCAAGTCCGAGCTCTCATGGCCCACCTCCTCACCGCTGAAGCCACAGGAGAGCCTGCTGAGCCCTGTCCAGCACTGTCCTTTCAACTGGTACATAATTATGCCTTTGTCATCTCTCATTCTGTCTCGCCTACAAGATGAGACTCATGGGAACTCCCCATGGCTAGAACGAAAGCTGCCACAGTCACCTGGCTATGTGGTTGGTGTTTCCCACCCCGGTAGCCCCCTCCCTCACATACCTGGGCCTGTTCCCACTTCCTCTTACTGGAGCTCGCCTGGGCTGGCCCAGTGGGCAGGTCATTTGCAGCCCAACCAGGTGCTTCTGAGATGGAACCAAAGCTGCCTGGTCCAAGGGCCAGAGCCATGGGTCAGAGACCATGGATCTACCCAGAGCCAGTACCCAGAGGCCACAGGTGTGAAGGCCAAGATGGGCCCTCTTGCTTGGACCTAGGCCACCTCACAGCAGGTCTCATCTGGGAGGGAGAGGACAAGATGAGGTCCTTGAGAACTAGGGCTTGATTAGCACCCATTACCATGTGTTAGCACCCATCCTAGGCTCAGGGCGGAGTGGGGTGCATGAGCCAACCAGGCTTCTCTCCCAGACATCACCACCACCATCACCACCACCACCACCATCATCACTATCACCATCACCACCACCATCATC